GCACTGAATTGAGCCAAGTGTGATGTCTGGCAAGTTTCGTGAAAATCGGTCCAGGTTTAGATATAGCTTCCATATATAGTTTCGTTCGATTTAATGTAAATGGTGTCCTATATATCTTTCGATTTGCACGAAATTTGGCATGACGTACTGAATTGAGCCAAGAGTGATGTTTGCCAAGTTTCGTGAAAATCAGTCCAGATTTAGTTATAGCTCCCATATATAGCTTCGTTCGATTTAATGTAAATGGTGCCCTATATATCTTTCGATTTGCACGAAATTTGGCATGACGTACTGAATTGAGCCAAGAGTGATGTCTGGCAAGTTTCGTGAAAATCGGTTCAGGTTTAGATATAGCTCCCATATATAGTTTCGTCCGATTTAATGTAAATGGTGCCCTGTATATTTTTCGATTTGCACGAAATTTGGCATGACGTACAGAATTGAGCCAAGAGTGATGTCTGGCAAGTTTCGTGAAAATCAGTCCAGATTTAGGTATAGCTCTCATATATAGCTTCGTTCGATTTAATGTAAATGGTGCCCTATATATCTTTCGATTTGCACGAAATTTGGCATGACGTACTGGATTGAGTCAAGAGTGATGTCTGGAAAGTTTCTTGAAAATCGGTCCAGATTTAGGTATAGCTCCCATATATAGCTTCGTCCGATTTATTGTAAATGGTGCCCTGTATATTTTTCGATTTGCACGAAATTTGGCATAGCGTACTGAATTAAGCCTAGAGTGACGTTTGCCAAGTTTCGTGAAAATCGGTCCATATTCAGATATAGCTCCCACATATAGCTTCGTCCGATTTAAGTTAAATTGTGTACCAAAGTCCCTATATATCTTTCGATTTGCACGAAATTTGGCATAGCGTACTGAATTAAGTCTAGAATGATGTGTGCAGAGTTTCGTGAAAATCGGTTTAGATTTAGATATAGCTACCATATATATATTCGCCCGATTTTAGGTAAATGGTGCACCAAAGTCCCTGGAAATCGTTTCATTTGCACAAATTTTGGCATAGCGTACTGAATTAAGTCTAGAATGACGTGTGCTAAGTTTCGTGAAAATCGGTTCAGATTTAGATATATATATATATATATATATATGTATATATATATATATATATCTTTCGATTTCCGCGAATTTTGGTATAGGGTACTGAATTAAGTCTACAATGATGTTGCTAGACCGATTGACACAACGTACTGAAGTAATATAAATTAGTCTCTGGCAAGTCTCTCTGAAATCGGATCAGATATAGATATATAACAAACACGTTACGTCTGTTAGGAGACATATGTAGAATATATTCCCAAAGTGGTGAAGGGTATCATATAGTCGGCCCAGTCCGACTTTACTAATTTCCTAACTGGTTAAAGAATATTTTGTGGAAAGAGTCAACAGGGGCGACAAATAGTTTGACCAATGCATGGATCTTTAAAGTACATTTTTGAAGGACCATCGTAGCCTCGGATTTCGTATAGGATATTTTTCCAAGCCCCAATTCAGGCTAGAATTTTGTAAATAAAATTTTTTGAAGGACCACCACAAGGACCTTACCATGATCATCATCCTTTGCTAATATCGTTTATCACATATCTTCTCTTTTCAGTGACTCCCATACGTGGTCCACGTATTACAGGCGGTCAAGCGCGTTATCAAATTGGCGACACGGTACGTGTCAATTGTACATCGTCGGCATCGAAGCCTGTCTGTCATCTTAGTTGGCTCATAAATGGTGAACCAGCCAGTCGTTCACATTTGCGTTTCTACAGTAACAAAGCGATAGGCAATGAAGGCCTGGAACAGGCGACACTCGGTTTGGAATTCAAAGTGAGAGCATATCATTTTCGCAATGGTGATATGAAATTGAAGGTTAGTAGAGAAACAATTTTTGATTACATTTTTTCAAAGATAATGTTTTTAAATTCAATTTCAAAAATAATATATATATATATTTTTTAAAATGTACTTACAGTGTGTGGCAAAAATATCCTCGCTATATTTTCAAAGTCGTGAAGCAAGCGTTGTATCGGATCATCCGCACAAAGCACCAGCCCTGGAATCAAGAGAAACTGTGGCGGCTAAATCAAGAGCTCATGGTATGTATGAATAGAAATATTAATATTTGATTGAACATTTCAAAGGGTTTTTTTTAAGAACTTTATTTCAATATGTCATTATAAAATATCTTTCTTAAAAAAAATGTTTGAAATATTTTTCAAGTTTACGGGCGTGGGTTTTTTTTTAAAGATTTTTCTTTAAGATTTTAAGATTAAAGATTTTTTAACCAAATTTATAGGCGTGGATTTTTAAAGAAAACTGTTTTTCAAATTTATAGGCGTGGATTTTTAAAGAAAACTGTTTTTCAAATTTATAGGCGTGGATTTTTAAAGAAAGCTGTTTTCAAAATTTATGGGCGTGGATTTTTAAATATAATTGTTTTCAAATTTATAGACGTGGATTTTCAAAGAAATTTGTTTTCAAAAATGTTTTCAAAATTTATAGGCGTGGATTTTCAAAGAAAATTGTTTTCAAAATTTATAGGCGTGGATTTTCAAAGAAAATTGTTTTCAAAATTTATAGGCGTGGATTTTCAAAGAAAATTGTTTTTAAAAATTTCAAAATTTATAGGCGTGGATTTTCAAAGAAAATTGTTTTTCAAAATTTTTCAAAAATATTTGTTTTTAAAAATTTCAAAATTTATAGGCGTGGATTTTTAAGGGAAATATACGTGGATTTTTTTAAGACAATAGGGGTGGATTTTTTATGGAAAATAAGCGTGGATTTTTTTAAGAAAATAGACGTGGATTTTTTAAAGAAAATAGCTGTGGATTTTTTTTAAAGAAAATTGGCGTGGATTGTTTTAAAGGAAATTGGAATAGATTTTTTAAGGAAAAGAGGCGTGGATTTTTTGAAGAAAATATGTGTAGATTTTTTCAAGGTATATAGGCGTGCATTTTTTAAAGAAAATATGTATAGATTTTTTTAAGGAAAATAGGCGTGGATTTTTTAAAGAAAATATGTGTAGATTTTTTTAAGGAAAATATGCGTGGATTTTTTAAAGAAAATTTTTTTAAGCCGACTCAGACCATAATGCGTGGATTTTTTAAAGAAAATATGTGTACATTTTTTTAAAGAAAATATTTTTAGATTTTTTAAGGAAAATAGGCGTGGATTTTTTTAAAGAAAATATGTGTAGATTTTTTTAAAGAAAATATTTGTAGATTTTTTTAAGGAAAATAGGCGTGGATTTTTTAAAGAAAATAGGCGTGGATTTGTTTAAAGAAAATATTTGTAGATTTTTTTAAGGAAAATAGGCGTGGATTTTTTAAAGAAAATAGGCGTGGATTTTTTAAAGAAAGTATGTGTAGATTTTTTAAGGAAAATAGGCGTGGATTTTTTTAAGGAAATATGTGTGGATTTTTTCAAGGAAAATAGGCGTGGATTTTTTGAAGAAAATAGGCGTGGATTTTTTGAAGAAAATAGGCGTGGATTTTTAAAATAAAATAGGCGTGGATTTTTAAAGAAAATGTGTGTGGGTTTTTTTAAGGAAAATAGGCGTGGATTTTTTAAAGAAAATATGTGTTGATTTTTTTAAGGAAAATAGGCGTGGATTTTTTTAAGGAAAATAGGCGTGGATTTTTTTAAGGAAATATGTGTTGATTTTTTTAAGGAAAATAGGCGTGGATTTTTTTAAGGAAATATGTGTGGATGAATTTTCTAAAGAAAATATGTGTTGATTTTTTAAGGAAAATAGGCGTGGATTTTTTTAAGAAAATATGTGTAGATTTTTTTAAGAAAATATGTGTAGATTTTTTTAAGGAAAATAAGCGTGGATTTTTTAAAAGAAAATAGTCGTGGATGGATTTTCTAAAGAAAATAGGCGAGGATTTTTTAATGTAAATAGGGGAAAATAGGGGTGAATTTTCTAAAGAAAATGGGCGTGGAGTTTTTAAAGAGCATAGGGGTGTTTGTTTTAAAGAATATGGGCGATGATTTTTTAAAGGAAATATGCGTGACCTTATAAACAAACTAGTTAGTTTGTCTTCATTATGAAATCCTCCTTTCACTTGATGTCTATATCAGTAAAAAACAACAAAACATGCAAGCTAAAGTAAAACTTTTTTTCCTGTAACAAATCCTGTTATCACTTCAACATGCAAGAAAAAATTGCATGTACGTATACAGTTCCAATGTTCTACAAAACACTCTGCCATCGGTGCAACAACAAGAAAATAATGAAACGCAAAAAAATATATAAATCAGAGCAGTAATACTCCATCATAACTGGGGCACATATACATATGAACATTTCCTATTAGTAGGTTTTTTTCTTTTTGCAATACGTCAACAATTTCAGTTTTTTTCTCTTTCTCTCTCCCTCTCTGTCTTCCATTGAACAACTTTATTATATGCCATACCTTATGCCTTATGTTGTTGTTTTTTTGTTTGCCATTTTACAGGCGCTTCAAGCGGCGGAAGTATACATCATTTGAATGGTATGCCGGTTAATTACTTGCTAACTTTATTATGCTGTCTTATTATGCTGTCACTTTATTATGCTGTCACTGCAACAACATCAATAACTATGATGATGACACCAGCAACAACAACAACGCGAACAACGAGAGTGCCAGAAGTTGTAGCAAAAAGTAGTTCAGCAAGGCTACGAACAAACAGCAAATCAACCACGACGAATAGAAGAACGGCGTCAGGAACATCAACAACGCCATCACCACCACGACTACCATCAACGTCGTCGTCGTCCTCGTCGCTGCCGCCACCGACAACAACACCCAGCTGTAATAACAAAAGTTCCCGAGTCGCACACAATTTAATATCATCACACATGGTATTCAGATAACTATGTTAATTATAATTAAGGACATTCTAAAGTGAAAGCAAAAACTCCCCCTGTCCCATCCCATCATCATCAACATCACTAACCAAACACCTTCCGCCTCACTTCGATCCTCATAATAACCCGTCTAACTCAAAAACAAATATCAGTCCTTGTACTATATACATTTATATATTATAAAAGAAAAATAACTAACAAACTTATCTTTAAAATAGAAAAAATACAACAACAACTAAAAATTCATTAAATACAATGAATATCGTCTGAATGAATGAACGAACGAATGAGTGTGTGTGAGTGAGTAGAACGAATGTGGTACGTAGTATATATTTTTGAGTGTGTCTGTCTGTTTGTGTGTTAGTGGGTGGGTGGATACTTGAGTGAATGCTAACATTTTTTATGAATGTTTTATGTAAATGTGTTATGCATAAATAATTTACTGTTAAACTTATTAATGATGTAAAAAAATTCAATTTTTGAATTAGAAAAGTGAAATTAACAAAAAAATAATAACATGGAAAATAATTGAAATGGGGTATGTGAAATATTTTGCGGAAATATTTCAAAACCAATTTTCATGGATTCAATGCGAGGTGTACAACCAATATTTCTAAATATATTCGACAAAACTGGTCAAGTGGAGAGAAATTCGAAAGAATTCTCACACATCGACTCAAACATGAATCTGATCGGTCATTTGACGTAAAGCTTTGTTTTGGTAAGCAATTTCTTCTTTAATTTCCCTCATATTAAGAAACAGGAATTCGATTTTATAATATAATTTAATGGCATTTAAGTCATTAAACATCCCACCCTTCTGCCGCAGATAGGGTTATAAAGAATTTCGATTTCCCAAACATCGCCAATATTTTCTATTTCTATACCCTGCTCAACTATGTTGTCAGGGTATTATAGCTTTGTGCAGCCCCAAGAGTTTGTAACGTCCTAGACCCACCTTTAAGTATACCGATCTCACATCTCGACTACCTGAGTCGATCTATACATGTGTGTCCATCCGTCTGTCCATTATAAACACGATACAGGTGACAGTTATGGACCAATCTTCACGAAATTTTGCATGTAGGATGGCTTCTGGCCAATGAAGACCCCTATTGTTTTTGGAAAAGATCGGTTAATATTTAGGGGATGAAATGGACCAAAAACTTTATTTTTGTCGGTTTTTCTGGTGGCTCCAGAAGCCGCGATTATGGCCCAAACACCGCACGGTGAAGGGGATCGGGCCAGAGAATAAGCATGCATGTTCTGATAAAGATCTGTCAATATTTAGCGGGTCAAATGGACCCTGACTTTTGTGAGAAAAATTACAAAATTTGTATTCTATTGCCTATATATTTGCCCCTGAAGGACATAGACCCGAGAAGTTGATAGTATATCCAAGAGGAGTGGTTGACCTTTAAATTGATACCAATTATATGGTCGTACGTACTCAGATGTGGGAGTTATACTTAAATATTTACAGGTGCTTACGTATTCATATATTATTTAGTAACCTATTACTACACTAGAAGGCGGAAATATAGCGCTGATAGCTTTGAAATTTTCCTTCAGGATCCAGGTATGGTCAAGGACAACGCCTATAATTTTCGGTGATGATCAGAAAATAATATAGGGATGAAGTGGAACGAAAACTTAATTTTGTGTGTCGATCTTTGGGCCACAATTGAAAGCCAAACATCACAACACAACCCACGGTGAAGGAAATCTGAACTAGTAGGGGAGACTGGGGCACCTTCGGCATCGGGGCACCTTCGGCAATCGCGTTTTCGATATGAAGCTCTCACCGTACATCACTAGTTTCGATACATAGGTATCGAATATCAAAATAAATAACTGACACAAAATTTCTAGCTAATAAGCTTATTTAGATATATGGGTTTTTGTATTTTTATAGATGTTTCTGTAATATTTCAATTCCATATCGTAAGTATTTCGTGTATAAAACTTTTTAAATATTTAAGACAATATTATTAAAAAGTGGTTAACTACGATGTGTATTATTATAGAAATATTTAAAAATATAATGTTTTTACAAATCTGATCGAAAAAAATGAAAAAAAAAACTATAAAAAGTACATTCGGGGTACATTCGGCCTTTTAAAGTGGGCACATTCGGGCATATACAGATTGTGCAATATTATTTCCTTAAAATGTTTTTGAGTTTGTTTTTAAAACTAATCCTTTAATATGGTTCGAAATTGCATATATAAGATCAAACGTGCTTGTATTGACGAAAATGCGATAGAAAACCTCTATTTTTGATGGTGTGTGCGACCTTGAGATGTAAACGTCCGCCGCTAGAAAATAATGTCCTATAATTCAAATATTGTGTGGCGTATTAAAACCAAATAGAGCCTTTAGAGGATCAGAATTTCAACCAGACTGATAGCGATGACAATTACCCGGCTATGACTATGGTGCCGAATGTGCCCCATCAAATGCCGAAGCTACCCCGGGTTGGGGCACATTCGGCGAATTTGACTTTTTTTACAAAACTGTAAATTTTTTTAACTAATACTATTTTTTATATCTTTTTAGTACTATTTTTTATACTTAAGTGTCAGAGGACAATAATCAGCCATAAAGTTTTTATATATGTTGAATAAGTACTGAGATATAGAGCTCTAAAAAAAAGTGCCGAAGGTGCCCCAGTCTCCCCTAATTAGAAGGGCTGTACTGAATATTAGTAATAATAATTTTGTTGACCTCTAGTCGTCAAGAGGGTGCAAATATCGCGAAGTATTACCCAAGCTCAGAATGTAGTACCACAGAAAGTTAGATTTTTGTGGAAGTTGTGTAGGGTATCATATGGTGGGCCCCGTCCGACTATACTGCTCCGCTCACTGGTTAATAATATATCGACCGAAATGTTGGAAAGAATGTGAACCGAGAGAATGGCCCATTTAAGGCTCTGTTGCGCTCAATATTTAGAAAAGATTAGGTTGTCACATATGTTTCTTCCGCGCCACGCTATAAATGAGTCTGACTGGCTATGCTTATATAATGCTTATATAAACAGGCGTATCTCTTCGCATTTGATCAAGATGGGATAAGCAAATCGGTATGAAAAGGGAAGACACTTATGGGACCGTACTATCGATTCTAATGAAGATTTCATGCATTTTTAGTTTGAAAATATTTTTATAGCTCTTGGTAAAACTGATAAATCGTTAATTTAATGGATATTCCGCCATACAGCCATGACTTGGCATGTAATGACTTCTCGACGTTAGGATCGGTCTGGCAGACAGGTGGAACTGTTAAATGTGGAATGTGTCAATGTAAATTGCCTGCTTTAAAGAACGAAATATCACCTTACATAAGCTCTGGTAAGATAACTGTGCTAGGAACATAAACATATGCAGCCGTGGAATATATTTTTTACACTACCCTTAAATGATCTTTTGAGAAAAAGTTTGGGGTTTAATTATCGTAGATATCAGTACACCAATATACTCTTTTGTCTTTTACACCCCACACCATAGTATAAAGGGTATATTAATTTAGTTTATCCGTTTGTAACTCATCGATAATAATAATTTCGATTTAAGCATATCCGTCTTTCTATTGTAATCACTCTAGCATATAAACGTATTGAGATAGATCGCCAACATTTTCCTGTCAGTATTTTGTCTTCGAGCAGGTCAAGTTCGAATATGAACGTTCCACGTTCAGGCATTGTCCCCACATATGGGTACCCACTAATATTCAATATATAAGGGGTTTTTGGGCACGTTTTTCAATCGAATTTGATTAAATTTGGTACATTGGGTTCTTATATGATACCAAATTTCTCCACTGAAAATTATAAATATACATGAATTTTTCGGGTAGCACCAATACAACGGTTCCTCCCAATTTTCGATATTTTCATTTCCGACCCTATAAAGTATGTACATTCTTGTCATGCCCTTTTGTCTGTCCGTCTATTGTAATCACGCTATCTTCTGAATGAATTGAGATAGGATGCTGGAATTTTGCAAAGGGTTGTCTTTTGTCTGCAGGCAGGTCAGGTTCGCTATATCGATTTACGTTTAGGCACAGCCTCAATTTTCGGCATTTTGGGGATCTATAGCGCGTTTTAAACCGAGTTTCTGAAATTCAGCACATTGGATTTGAATTAGGTACCAAATGTCTCCACCAAAAACTGTAAATATTAGTCGCCATTTTCGGTATTTTGGGGTTCTTAAGCGCGTTTTCAACCGAATTCGATGGAATTTAGAAAATAAATTCTTTTTGGGTACCAAATCTTTCTACCAAAAATTATAAATATAGGTGCACTTTTTCCGGTAGCCCCCATATAACGGTACTCCTAATTTACGGTATATTTAGGGTTATACTGTAACTTCGGATTTTGTAGTCGTAATTGGTAACAAAACTCCATCTCAAAAATTGTTTTTATTCACCCCCTTTTGGAGGTAGTCCCCATATAATCCCCTTCTTTATATTAATAGATTTAACTGATTTGTTTCGCGTTTTGGAGTTGTCACCGCATTCCACCATGGCGGGGGAGATATTCTATACTCGAAATTGTCAGTTTATACCCTACAAAGTATGGAATTAATTAGCCATCTGTTGTAATTATTCCACCTTTGGAGGAGATAAACATCTAGAACGTCAAGTTGGAGAATAACCTATTTGACCTTTATTTGCTGTATTTTGAGGATTTAATACACAACCTCCGCCCCAAAAATGCGATATCAATATCGGTCCTCGTTTTGGGGTTTTGTGATTTTATGAAAAATCACTATTAAAACTTTCTGAAATTTATTTTTAGAGTACATTATAGTTTATAAAAATCGATTGGTAGAATTGTCATTATATGTCCACATTTTGATATGTTCCCTATATTTTCATTTCAAGCTACTATCAGTACACCTCTGGTAGAGGGTATCCAAAGTTCAGCCCGGCCGAACATAAAGC